GGATTTTTATCATTATAGGGTGGTTGTGTACACACACCGCCAACACACGTTTCAGTTCAAACAACTTGTAAAAGTGCATGTGCATTAAGAGTCAGTGTATTTGCACAGGGATTCCTGTTTATCCCGTCAGAAATGCACTGCTCTGCACACAGGTTCTCCATTCAGGCCAGCCGTGTGTGGGTGAATGTGAGCGTAAGTATTTCTGTGTGTGTGTGTGTGTGTGTGTACACTGAGAGACTCTCTGTGCTATAGAACTGGGGTTGATTACAGTAAATTACCCCTGCAGTTAATTTAACACCAACCCAGTATACAGCAAAGCTGCATCTACTAACTTAAACACACACTCAGACAGAGAACTCCTTCATATCTACAAACTCTCCAGACCTGGACACTGAAAGACTAAAGTGAAACCAATGCTGGACACAAACTCATACTGTTTCTTAAACAGACAACTGACTAAACTGAAGGAGCATGCATGAAAATAACGATTTGACTGGTAACTATTTGCAATTCCTGAAGGCCATTGCTTGCAAGGCAGCAATTGTGTTGATGTATTAGGTTCATTGAGGTTGTAGGCTTTGTTTAATTTTAATTTTGTTTATTTTCTGTCAGCTGTATATAAATAGTTAAAATATGCAAAAAGACTAAACCAATCGCAATTCAGTATGCAAATAGATATAAGAAAGAGGACCAATCAGACACATTACAGTGACGTCATTCCTGTCAGTTCACTGACTGATTCTGAATCACTGTACATTCCATCATGTTTTTTTTTAAGTATGATTATAAAAAACTAAAATGGATTTAAAAAAAAGCTGAAAACATTAAATGAGAAAAAACTTCTACATTTGCACTTTTCAGGTTTTTCTGGATTAAAAAATCTCTGTTAATCTAAAAAATATCTCGTCTACAGTTTTAGAAGAACTGTGCTCAAATTCACAAAGACACTAAAATCTGCAATCAAGTCAGAAATTTCAATATGAACTCAAGTATTTTGCATGAAATTCTTCCAAATGATCTGAGCTGTCATCTATGTTAATTTTACAACTCTTTACTCCCACTGTATGTCAACGATTGATTCATATGTATTTATTTTTAAGTCTTGGGAATTTTAGGAAATCATATGAGACAAACCTGATACTTAAATGAAACATGACCGAGAACTCCATTAAGGTTCCTGAGCAACCTCATGGCAATCAGATATTCCTCTGGGTGAAGCTATCATAGTAACTGCAGCAGTGCTAGTATTTATAGCATTAAGCTGCCATCGTAGTCCCACTCTTCTTACAGACGCAGTGAAATCATGTGTAGAGTTTTGCATCTTTTATTCTGTTTTTTATCTTTGATGCTATACTAAAAGTTGACAAAATATATACACTGCCATTGAAAAGTTTGGGGTCGGTGAGATTTTTAAAAAAAAAGTTTTTAGTCTCTTATGCTCACCAAGGCTGCATGTATTTGATAAAAAAAAATACAGCAATGTTGTGAAATCTTATTATAATTTAAAATAACAGTTTTCTATTTTAATACATTATTTAACCGAATTTTCAGCATCATTCCTCCAGTCTTCAGTGTCACATGATCCTTCAGAAATCATTCTAATATGCTGATTTGCTGGAAATATTACTTATTATTGTTATCAATGTTGCTTAAAATTTCTGTTGAAACCATTTAACTTTTTTTTCAAGATGTTTTGATGATTAGAAAGTTTAAAAGAGCTGTTTAAAACAGCATTTATTTGAAAAAAAAAAAATCTAATATTAATGACCCCAACTTTTGAAGCATTTAGAATTTAATGCATTTTTTTGTTATTATTATTGATGCAGCATTTTGCATTTCCAAAATTGTATCCAATAAAATGCTCCCCTGAATGACACCTACTTTGAGTCACATGGACTACTTCTATGATTCTTTCTTCTTCTTTTTTTCTCTTTTTTTCTGAGAGCGTAGTCTCTGTCCAATTACACTATACACTGTAAAAAATGGCAGTGAATTTAACGGTAAAAGACTGTAAAAATGCTACACAAAAAACCTGTTAAATGGTTAACGGTAAATCCCCCTACTATATACGGTGAAAAACTGTATTGGACATTACATGTATTGGACATTAATTTTACGGTAGTGTACCGTTTTTAGAAGGGAAAAAGACTGTATAATTTTCAGTGAATAACCGTAAATTGACATTCCCAGAATTCCCCGCGTTACATTTCAAATTTGATGTTTTTTGTTGAAATAACTATGTTTCTTCTTAGTTTTTTCTTATCAGTTTTGTATATTAGGGTTGTGTGTTACACCTAATGTTGTTAAATGAATGTTTATTGCATTATTTCAGTTTCATGTGTGTTACTATGATGGTGTTTGGTGTTTGTGTGAGTCACACTGTGCACCTTCTATATATGGTATTATTTAAAAGTTGCTTGTGATGGGCTTTGGTTCATCATGTGACTTTCTCATCACCACCTGGCATTTGGTGGTTATCAGTGTATTACAAAGGTACAAAACAGATTTCAGTACTTCAATAGGTTGGTATATTAACATTATATCAGTTAATGAGATTACGGTATTTGACTGTAAATTTAAGTTAAAACCGTAAAACCTAAAATGTTGCTACACTTCCGGCAATCACAGCTGCCGTTTTTTTACCGTAAATTTTACGGAATTTTTTTTACAGTGTATGGAAGAAAGCAGCATGAACAATCTTTAGAGAACAAACTTCTCTGTTTGTTATTTTCAAGGAAGAAAGAAAGTCAAGTGGGTTTAAAACAACATCAGCAAATGTTAACAGAAATGTATCTTTACGTCATCATTCAAATGTAACTCCATTTATAACCAATATGCAGCTACAATAATCTATTATCTAAGAATACATTGATTGATTCAGAAAACAGAAAACCCTCTTCTCTGTCATCTCTGGTGGCCAGTAAAGGAAAGTCTTTCGTGTTGACTGTAAGGTCACTTACAGATGGAGAAAGCCTCGTTCTCCCTCTCTCTTTAAACTGTCAGACAGGAAGAGGGCTGTGATTTGGTGGCCGGCTCTATGAGACGCACTTGTGTTCAGTTGGCCACTGGAAAGGGAGGGTAGGCGGCAGTTACAAACGCTCCTCTTAACTCACTGACAGCCTCTGGCACTACTCTGAGTGAGAGAGGGCGAGCAAGAGAGAGACATTTCTGAGCATAGAGGGGGAACTTGTTCAGCAGTGGACTTTTATCATGCTGAACTGACCAGCGTCTTCCCTCTGGAATACTCTACCAAACAACTGCTAGGACGAGACTACCAACACAGGGATCATTTCACTGCAAGACGCCAAAATGCTCAGCTTTGGTGAGTCTTTCATTCCTCTTCGGTGGAAACTTACATGCGACGTTTAGCCACACCTGATTCAGAGCTCAGAAACAGATGTTATTAAGACACAAACACACATAGATCACCATGTCAGGTCAAATGGCATCAACCAAACACATGCAGAGAAAATAGCATTGCATGCAATGGCTGCACGCGTATCCCAGAGCTTGTGTGTGTCTCGTTTGATACTGTGCTGAACTCCAGACGCTAATGTTTGTCATAATTAGATCGGATGGAGACAGATCCATCAACATGGTCCCAGCTAAACCATGCAGTCTGTCCAATGCATCAGTGGAAGCATAACATGCGCTGATTCATACTGCAGTTATGAGAGTAACACAATGTATTACCATTATAAAAAAGTTGAAAGCTGCGTCTCAGAATAACTGAATGCAGGGTTTGCTGGGATGGCTTTTACTCATTGCATAATATGGAAATGGTTTGATTAGAAAAGGCTCCGCTTGCTGGGATCAGACAAATGCTTTTGATTAAAACAGGAATTGTTTATACTGTCATAAACAATGACAGAGGTGTTTAAGAGAGAGGGGTAATAAACAAGGGAAACATGTGAAAACAAAACAATGGATATCTGCAATCTAGAGTTAAACTAGCTATTCAGTTAGTTTGCAAATATCAGTAATTACCCTAGCAACCACCAAGGGCACCCTAGCAACCAACTAGTAACACACTAGCAACCACGCATTTTTCAGTTGTATTGTTTTTGATAAAAGGCCATCTGATCATCAGGGAGGACAGGAACTAACAAACAAACACATTTTCTAAAAGGTTTTCATGGTCATTTATTTATCTAAATGCTACTTCTGTCAAATCATCATTTCACTTCATCATTTCCATGAACCAGTGTTACTTTTGGTCTATTTTTCTTTTTAAAGTCTTCCAACTAAACAGTATGACGGCTCTGCACCATTACATCAATGTTTAAGTCAACACATTTCAAACGGGAAACAATTTCATCCTGTGCCACTGAAATTACTGCAAATTATATTCTAAACACAGTTGGAAAATATTGTTGCAAATGACATAAAAATAGAGTGAATATGCCATTAAAACATTTCACCTACATCTTACCATTTTAGGTCAGTTTACTTTTTTTTAGTACAACATTAGGTGCTAGTTAACGTACACACTGCAAACAGTTATTCTTGGAGGTAAATGAAATTGCATAGCTCAAATCACATTAATTTACCAATATTGCAATGTGCAAAAACGTTTTTAGCATTTTTTTTTTCTTTTCACTTTTTAAAAACATGCTTATGATGCTTTCAATGTAGAAAACATATGTTTTATTCTTGGAGGTAAATGAAATTGCATAGCTCAAATCACATTAATTTACCAATATTGCAATGTGCAAAACGTTTTTAGCATTTTTTTTTTCTTTTCACTTTTTAAAAACATGCTTATGATGCTTTCAATGTAGAAAACATATGTTTTTTCAGGATCAGATTAAACAATTTACTCTAGTCTTACAATGTTTACAAAAGTGATAGACAAAGTGAATATGCTTGTTGTTTTCCTCATCTGTTAGATGCTTTGGATAAAAGCGTCTGCTAAAATAATAAATGTAAATGTCGACAATCAGCCAGAGAGCTGATCTCAGTGATTGCAACAAGTGTTGGCAGATTTGCTACTTTTGCTCTGGCCTAAAGCAGGCAAGCACAAGGCTTATATTTCATCATGAATAACCCAGTAAATCTCAGTGATTCATCCAGACATCCATTAAGAAAAACAGAATTAGCTTGTGCAAGACCCCACAAATATACAGGCTCAGTTTTAAAACACTGTGAGCTGCCTTGCTGTCTTCTGCCCATACATTTGAAACACTCTACAAAGGCAGGAGCTCAATTGGTTTCAATAGAATTTGGTGTTGGCTAGGGTGTCTATATGTCCTCCTTTTCCCGGACATGTCCTGGTCTGGATTTCTAAACTGTTAAAACAATTTTTTGCTGAAGGTAATGACTGAAAAGTAGTTTAACCAATAGCGTGCAGGCATTAATCGACCAATCATGGGGCATGAGAAGGGAACAGACTGTAGAGAGCATGTCAATAGGAAAACAAAGCCAAAATCTAGACACTTTAAGCATTTCTGGTGTTGAATGAATTCTAAGTATATTTATTATTAAATGCATTTCTCTCACTTAATTTGCCATCTTGAATGCATTTTGTCATACTGTATCACTATAAGTAGTCAAACAAAGTAGTCACAATAATTTATTCCAAAAATAGCAAAAAGCACAATAACGGAATACCAAACAACTAAAGTTATGTGATAGCTTAATGTAAGAAACAAAGTAAAACTCCAGGATTTAATCGCTAAAAATCTTCCTGCTCTGTGAACTGAACAGTCACATTCACATCTCTTTTAAAAGATAAATCCAAACTTTAAAATTACAGACTGCATCCTTAAAAAGACACTTTTATGCTGCCTTCACGTGCTATCGGAATTATCTTAAATACCAGTTTCCTAATCGGATATTGGACGTGAACGGCCTCTCGAGTCGTATTTACTACTGGGCGGGCCATAAACTTTAAACATGGTGGAGGGGACAACCATAACGACTAGTGATGCAAAGTCCGATTCATTTCCGCGAACCGATTCTTTTCGGACAGATCGGCTCATTGAACTGGTTCAAAAAGCCGATTAATCGGTTCCTGACGTCATCAAGCAATAACGTCTCTACGCATTTCTTTTCTAACAACTCAGTGCCATGTTGTATCAATGAAAAATTCAAATAAGTCATTTGTGTCAATGCATATTGAAACATTTAAAAATAAAGTTATTTGTGTGAAAGCATATTGCCGATTATTGCCATATAATTCACTTAAGTTAATGGTGTCTGTGGTCACAGTTTCATTTGCGGATCCTCAGATACGACTGACTGACCGATATTGACTAGCCTACAACTTGGATAAGATTACTAAAAGTTTCGCACCTACAACACACATTACAGACATTGATGCACAAACGCGGATATATTCTACATGTCTACAGTATAAAGAATGAATAAACCAGTCTTATAAACTCCTTGATTTCGCTTAAGCAACTTTAAATATAATATGCATGCACAATAAACTATTGTGAAATTTATTTACATCACTCGACAGAAAGGTTTTTGCAGGTTTTAATAAAATGTAAATTGATAGCAGTCATAATAAACAAGCATATTTCCAGTACGAGCCTCAGGCTTGCACAGTATCGTCAACTCACTCATCAGAATCTTCGGTAATCCTCGGCAAACTTCACCAAGGCTCATTCGGTTCTTGTTGAGTCCTCGGTAATCCTCTGCAAACTTCGACAGTTGGTTGAACAAGCTCATTCAGTTCTTTTTGAGTTGGACGTGCTACTTCGGACTGTGCGTCCTGCGTCATCAACCCGGAACTAAAGTTCGATTCAGTTCGATTTGTGAACCGGCTCAACCGGTTACTTCCTGAGAACTGGCTCAAAAGAACGATTCGTTCAAGAACCTAACATCACTAATAACGACAACTGTCAATGCTATTCATTATTAGATTTTTCCACAACAACTACATCACCTTGTCGCTAAAGTAGTGCATATTTAGAGGCTTTATGTGAAGAATCATTGAAGCATATTGTATGTTTTATAAACTGTGAAATAAGCATGCATTTGACCAAAATTCGTAAGCAAGCTGACTGTCTAGCACGATGAATCTTTATATCCCATTGGTTGACAACCAATGGGATGCTGCATTTTATTCTTTCCGACAACAAAGCACTTGAATGCGACGAGCTCGAATGGTACATTCAAGTCATGTCGGATAGATCGTATTTACGAGTTGAACGCACATGAGAAACACCACCACAAAGTTGTTATTACGAGTGGGAAACTCTCAATTTTCTTTACGTTTCCGAGTTGGGGGCATGTCAATGAGAAACATGGTGGAATCGTCTGTAGTTGACGATAAATATTTGTTTAAATTGATAGTTTAGTCCTATAAACTTAAATTGATCATGTTCTTGTTACGCAGCTGAAATCCAAGTAAAAAAAATGCAGACCCTGTTGTATTTTCTTGTAATTTATTAAAAGAAGGTACACCGCCATCTTGTGCCGACAAAACTGACTTGACGGCACCTGACGTCGTAATTTCGACTTGTCAACTCGTAAGTATGAACGTCCCAAGAGGACTTGAACGCAGCAATAATCACGACTTCATAAGTGGGAAATAGGAAATTTCCGACAGCACGTGCATGCAGCATTAGTGTCTTGATGTGCGTTTCTCTTTGACACGAGACAGAATGACTTGTGAATAATCATTCCGCCCACCTTTCTGAACATCCTTCACACGAGCAGCACGTCTATGATGACTTTAAATGCTGTTTATGTAGGTAGGCAGCTCACTAGGTGTTGGAAAATAGCCTCACTCTTCATTGCATCAGGATCCAAGCTGCTAACGAGCCCAGACAAAGCTCTCTCGGTAGACTAATTACCCTATCAAACTTCAGCAGCACCAGAACCTTAGAACACTTTGTGGACGCTGGAGTCATTTGTCAGTATTTGAAGTTGGGACTTTATGTGGCAACCAGTGCCAGAGAAAACAAAGGAGCAGCTGGGCAATGTGAAGTGAAGAAGAAGCAGTGACTTGACAAATTTGTCCCTTACGAGAATTAACCATGGTTTTATTATAGTAAAAGTGTAGGCTAGTAACCATGTTTTTTTGACGTATTGATTACCATTTATAATTTTACTACAAATACCATGGTTAAACTATGGTTAGTGTAGCAAGCATTGTTAATTTGTGGTTCCCATAACAGGAGAAATGTTTTAATTCTCATATGAGCAGTCTGAATGATACTGAGTGTAATGTCTTTCCATGTAAGTGATTGATGTAAAAGTGATGTGGATTAAATGTCAAATAAATGTTTGACAGATGATGGAGAGAATGTGTTATGACAATATATTGGCCTCAGAATATAGTTAAGGGACAGCTCACTGAAATAAATGAAATTCAACCCATATGAGAGCATCCCCCCCACATTGTTGGATAAGAAAGTTTATTCAATCAATCAATTTTTTGTGTGGAATACAGAAAATATTTGGAGGTATACCTTCATACAGCTCTTTTCCATTGCCAATAATATTGTAAAGTAAACAATGGCATGACAAAACATAATCTTGACTATATGTACCAAAATGAAGCATAGTCACAATAAATAATTATTAAAAATAATTAAATAATAAAAAATAAAATTATTAAGCCTACAGTTGAGCTCACACTCACTGTGTAAAATGTTCTTATAAATTATAATAAATATTTAACTTTTATGTAGAAAAACATAGACATTGAATCTTATATTGTAATTGTTATTTCAACGATTTGATACATTTATTTCTAATTGTGATGTTTGACATTATATTGTCCTAATCAAATTATTGACATTAGAGTTTTGACATAGACTTAGAAATAAGCAAAATGCTCAACTTAAACCTGATCTGTAGATCAATAGATCTCATATGTATTGATCAAATCAGATCAGGGTACAATATTTTTTAAGCAAACAAAGTGTGTCTCTGTGATATTGTATGTCAATGGCAAATCGGTGTGGTCCATTTACAAGGTCTGAAGCATAAAATGAGTGAATTTGATTAATCTTACCATGATACAGTTTTTATGTCACATATTATTTACGTGATCTGTCTGTAGTACCGCCCTCCCATTTCAAAACTTGAGTGACATCTGTGAAGTAAATATAGGAGCAATAGCAAACAGCTGCTGACTCCAATGCAGGACGTTTCCTAACTGACCGTCCCGACTGAATCAATCTGTTGAGTCTCAGACCCCAAAGGTTCTTAAAGACAATACCACAAAAGGTCTTCATAATGCATGAATATCTGAGAGGTCATGACGTGTTGCACATGAAATCTTCTCTTTGTGGTGCAGTAATGCTCACTATCACCACCAGGTGACTATGACTTCATTCTCAGCAAAGTACATCACAATTTAGACGACAGCAGTCACAGTATATTCCCTCATGTCAGCATGAATATGAGCTCATCTCACATGACTGGTAATGTATGTGCAGCCAGTCATTTATAATGCATGACGGATCCTGTCATGCCTGTAAGGAAAGAAAACAACAAAACCATTAGGTTTAAACCCCTGAATATTGTACTCATAATAATGATTATATTTCTGTTTGCATATGAGAGATTTGCATGTTTAGATTGCATTTTCTATTTAGAAAGATACAATTGATAATCGTACATTTAAATGATGAGCCAAAATCAAAATGTCTTAAAGGGGCAGTTCAACCAAAAATAAAATGTTGATCTTTATTTACTAACCCTCAAGTCAGTTCAAACCTGCATGATGCTATTTTTTTCCTTCAAAAGAAGAGTTTGAACTATCTTTATGCTCTTTTTTTTATAACAGATTATATCTGTCAAACTCCAAAAAGGATGAAAAAAGTTCTATGAGACATGGTGCTTTTTTTTGTCCTTTTTGAAGACTCTGTCACATTGAATGATCGTTTGTCTGAAAAAGAGCTGCATGATGCATTCTTCTGTTTCAATGAAAAACAATAACAGCATATGCACTGGGGGGGGGGGGGGGGGGCCCCGGG